TGTTTTGCTCATCAACTTCAACTAACTCTTGTTGGGGTCTCTAAAAAGTGTGTTGAAGTGGGAAAACTTGTAGTATTGGTCTCAAATATTTTTAATGTATTGGGATCTTCTTTTAAGCGTATGGATGATTTACGAGATTCTCAAAAAGCAACAATTCAAGATGCATTAGATATGGGTGAACTGACAACCGGTAGGGGCTTGAATCAACAACTTGGTCTTTCAAGAGCTTGTGATACTCGTTGGGGATCTCATTATAAATCCTTTAACAATTTTATTCTTATGTTTGGCTCTATTGTTGAAGTTCTTGAATCACTTGCTCTTGATGCACGAAGTATGGATGAAAGAGCCAAGGCAATGGGACATCTTGAATCTTGTCAAACATTTGAGGTTGCGTTCATGTTGCATTTGATGAGAGATGTATTAGCAATCACAAATGAGCTCAATAAATGCTTACAAAGAAAGGAGCAAGATGTTGCAAATGCCATGCTACTTGTTGAAGTAGCAAAGAAAAGGTTGCAAGTTTTAAGGGATGATGAATGGAATTCTCTTATTGCTAAGGTATCTATATTTTGTACCAAACATGAAATTTTGATACCTAACTTTGAGGAGCCATATGTTAGCTCTTTAAGATCACGGCGAAGACTTGTTCACTATACAGTCTTACATCATTACCGTGTTGAAGTGTTTTGCAATATTATTGATTGGCAACTTCAAGAGCTTAATGATCGTTTTAATGAGGTATCTACTGATTTGCTCCATGGAATTGCTTGTTTGAATCCAATTAACTCGTTTTCAAGTTTTGACAGCAAAAAAATAATGAGGATGGCTGAATTATATCCAGATGATTTTGATGAATTTAATATGGATACTCTTGAGAATCAACTTGCAAGTTACATTGTTGATGTTCGTGATGTTGATGAAAGGTTTTCTGATCTAAATGGACTTTGTGATCTTTCCAAAAGATTAGTCCAAACAAAAAAACATTCAAATTATCCTTTGGTGTTCCACTTAGTGAAACTTGCTCTACTTCTACCAGTTGCCACTGCATTCGTTGAAAGAGCTTTCTCGGCAATGAAGTTTATCAAGAATGACTTGCGAAGTCAAATGAGTGATGATTTTTTTAGTGGTTGTTTGGTGCCTTTTGTAGAAAAAGATGTATTTGATAGTATTCCTAATGATGCTATTATTAAGACATTTCAAGATATGAAACCTCGTAGAGTACAATTGTAATGATCTATTTAAGTTTTTAGATATATGTATGCGCTCTATTATTTATGTGATTAATTTTTTTTTTGAACTCCCTTGATGAAAATCATCCCTCCGCCACTGGTACCACCATACACGAAGGAGGTTTGGCGTCTCGGTAACAATTTTGAAACTCAAGTGTTGCTTGACCATCTATAAAAACATACAAATAATTAGATATTCCCCGAACCCAAGACACAATAATTTGTCAAACAGCGAATACATCCTTCAAACACGTAAGTATAAACGTCCGTTCGGGCCGTGGGCCCTTTGGACTCAAGGTGGTCTTTCTAATGGACCGACACGCCTTGGGTATTGGGACATCTTAGGCCAAAACATTAAATTTAAGGGATTTGGTCTTGGCTCTACACTAGTTTTGACTAAGAATAGGCTTTGTTTATAGCAGATAGATAACCCAAGTGTACTACTTGGGCTGGAACAGTTAACGACTGTTGACTATCCAGTAGCCAACTACATTCGTCAGGGTGCCCCGAGAACAATTTGGTTAACGAATGACTACGGCCCACATAATCGTCATTTAAGTGCAAAATAAAAAATAAGCGTCATTTGATAGAATATGTTATGCCATTAATGTAACAGTTTATAGCAATTTAAACACTTTAAGCACAAATAAACAATTCAACAATTAATAATAATTAGTCAAATAGTTAAATCTTATGGTTAGAACTTAATTAAGTCCCCAGCATAATCGCCATTTTTGTTGTGTCATATTTTAACTAACCTTTAGAAAAATCATTTTTTTTGAAATGTTCTAAATATAACACAATTTGGGAATAATACTTAGAAAAGAGTCGCCACTTAATTTTTTAAAGAAATCAAGAAAACTTATTATTTTTGTAACATCCGACAATTTGAAATATCTATGAAGAGGCTTAGAATTGAAATTTATCATTTTTTGAAAATTTGGCTAAGTTCAGAATCTGAAAATTTGGCTAAGTTCAAAATCTGGAAAATTTGGTTTAGTGTGGAAAAAAAGTGAGTTTCTGGCAAACTTTGAGCAGTCATAACTCCTAGCTCAGGATGAGTTAGAAGTAGTCCCAATTATGTTTACGAACCTCGTGGAATAACCTTTCCAACGCCACCGAGTTTTCTCGATTCCGAGTTCGTATGAGTGAGTTATGCCCTTTGGAAGTTGGGCAGTTGGCAGGGAAATTCGTCCGGATATTTTAAGGGCATTTTGGTGTTTTCACTAATCAATTGTTTTGGTTATATTAAAGTATTAGACTGATTTTATATCAGTTTGTCTCTTTTTTTAAAGAGTAAAGAGCTAGGGCTTGGGAGAGAAGAGAGAAAGAAGAGAAGGAAGAGGAGAAAGAGAAGAGCAATCAAAGAGATCATTGTTGATATCGTCGGGGGTGATCCCTACTAGGTATGTGAGTTCATAGTGTTGGTTGGTTCTTTCCCCCCACACGCCAAACTCGTTTAATTTTGAAAAAAAAAAAGAAAAGATTGATTATGTTTGTTGAAGTTGTTAGTTGTATTTGATGAAGTTGTTGGTTGTGATTGTGTTGAAGTCTTGTGATTTGGGACATGTTTCCGGTTGGTTTTTGAGTTGAATCTCTTGTATGTTAAGGGATTTTATGATCCTTAGTGTTGGGGTTGCTCCTTTCCCCCACACTCCAAATTCGTTTTATTTTCAAAGAAAAGATAGATTGTGTTGTTGAAGTTGTTGGTTGTGTTGTTGATTGTGGTGTTGAAGTTCCTTGTTGATTTGGAACATGATTTGGTTGTGATTTTACTGCTGGAACCTTTGAGATTGAGAGGGTTTAGAGTTGGCAACATAAAGGAGAAAAAGTCGGGCAGCTTGCCTGAAGCAAGTCTGCGTCACAGATTTGTTCCTTCTGTGAACAGAATCTGCTCTGCGTCGCGGACTCCACTGTTTTCAGAATTTAATTTTTGTAATTCTTCTTAAGTTTTAGCTGTCCTAAATTATTTCATAAACATCATGGGGTCCTTACCAAACACAAATCATTACCCTTGAATCCATAATTCAATTCAAGAAAGTTATGATCAAAGTCAAGTGAAGTTAGAAGGCAAGTGAAGTTAGAGCCAAACTTAGAAGTTAAGCAAGTCAAGCAAGTTTTTAAAGTTGTTCAAGAGTCTTTAGTGAATGTTTTAACTTTATTTTTAAGACTCAAGTTTCAAGTCAAGAAAAAGGGTATAGAGTTTCAAGTCAAGAAAAAGGGTGTAGAGTTTCAAGCCAGGTGTAGAGTTTCAAGCCAAGTGAAGAGTCTCAAGTTTCAACTTAAGTCAAGAGCATAAAGTCGAGTCCATTTCTCAAAAGTTATTAGGGAACTATGTATTTCCCAAGGAAGTTTCTAAATGTTTTTACATTTGAGTAAGAAAGGAACATCGATTCCAAAAGAGCCTTTGGGTTAGATTTTGAGTAATTATCTCAAGTTAAAGAAAGATGTGTTTAAAGCACTTATGAGCCAAAGTATATTTTTGGGAGTAGTCTTGAGCACCGAGTTGGGGACACGAGTTCATATTAACTCAACTCTCCATAAGAACCATGCGGCCAACATGGGATTTAACGGGTCATACTTTTTAGATGATCACGTAAAGTTAAGCTAGTGGATCCACTTAGTAATGTTAGCTTTCTATATCACAGCCAGGTATAGAATGGTCCTTGGGTAACGTGAGGTAAAACATTGTACCACCACTAGGGCTCATAGTGGTGGTTGTCGGTTAAAGAATCTCCCACTAAAGTTATATTACTTTATATAAGTAAAGTTAAGTTTGGTATTGCCTTAATCATTAAAGAACTAAGTTGTTTACAATGTTTTAAAAGCTATATATATTGCATGTGTCTTATTGCTTATATATTGAGTTCAATTATTCATGAGTCGTACAGAGCCAAGGTAAGTGTTCTCTTGTATTCTTTTCAAGCTTAAGTTGTGTTTTAGCCTTCCAGCTCGTATACTCGTACATTTCATATACTGATGCCAGTTGGCCTGCATCTTATTATGATGCAGACGCAGGTACCTAGGATTAGCATCCGGCACGCCGTTGATCCAGTTGAGCACTCCAGAGTCGGTGGTGAGCCTCCTTGCTTTTCGGAGGACTCAATTATTTTGTTCTCTTAGTTTTGCTTTATTAGGGTGTTACGGGTCTGTCCCAACATCCATCTCAGTATTTTAAAGGCTTCATAGACAGTCAGTCAGTTAGTTTTGAGCTCTCATCTATGTAGATATGTAAATATTCTATTTTGGGACTCGAGTTGCCTTTTTGGCCAGATTTTATAAGGTTAAGTTGTTTTATAACCTTGCATTGCATTGAGTTATTCTGTTGAGTTAGGTTTCCGCTGAGTTAAGAAAGCCAGGCCAAGGGTTCACTTGGGGCCAGCAATGGTCTCCGAGTGCCAGTCCCCCAAAGGGTGTAGGCTCGGGGCGTGACAATTTTCAAAGATTTAAACAGAAAAAATAGTTTGAAAATACCAAAAAGGGTTCGGGGTTCAATTTCCACTTCGAGAAGGGTTTAAGCACTCAAAGCGCCCGCTAACATGCGGTTGACCTACAAATTGACTAAAATATATTTGACTATTTTTAGAAAAAATAATGATTTAACATAAAAATAATAACTTATAATATAATTGATTAAGAAAATAATTAAATAAATGATGCATTTTATTTCATTTTATTTTTTTAGAGGAAGGGATCCAAAATGATACATTTGACTCGAAATACAAGTGATTGGAATATTAATAAAACTAGATTAATTAGAATTTATTTAATTCATTTTTTTGAAATAATAATATAAACCAATTTAATAAATTAAAGCATGAATATCATTTTGAATTAATTGACTAAACTTTTTGAGAAAATGACTAAGTATTGTTATTTTTTAATTAATTGTAAAGGTTTTGACTAACATTTTAAAGTTTATTTGATAAGAAGTACTTTAACTTAAAACAATTTTAAAAAAGAGTAAAATATGATTAAGCAAAAAGCATTAAAGAACGTCTCTTTTAAGTACAAAAGGTTTAACTTAATTGAAGATATAAAATTTTGACCAATACACTTGATCACTAAAATAAATGAACACAAAACATAAAATGTATTAAAATTAAACCAACACAAAAAAAATTAACTCATCTTTTGGGGAATTTAATTTAGTTAATTAACAATTCTAAGTTAGAGTTAATGATAAAAAAAAACAAACAATAAATAAAGACAATTAAATAATTTAAAGATAAAGGAGAAATGAATTTGGGCCCCCTTTTTGGGCCAATTTTGCTGAAAATTTTGGCCTTTAAACCAATCCCGTTTTTGTATA